CTAACCCTAACTGCGGTTAGGTTAGTGTTGCGGTTAGGTCCGGTTATTTTCCGGTTATTTTCCAGTTAACTAACCTAACTTTCAAACACTACCATCACCCTCCATCATTGTCAGACATCTCTCTCTCAGATGATGACTGCCCCACGCATATCAATATGTCGAATGCAAAGAAGGACAAGGGCAAGGGCTGTAAGCAGTCCTCAGAATGCACAAAGGACCACCTAAGCCAAAAGGCAGAATAACTGAGAAGTTATATTCTCAGCCAGTGCATCCTATATATGATACAGTATGGGAACTGTAGTAATCATGCCATGATTACAAGGGCAAGGGCAAGGTGCCAGTCAAAGTTGAAGAGGCATCAGATGCAGAGTTTGAAGTACGTGGCAGGGTACCACACATTGGAAACCACACAGTTACGGTTGAACAAGTGACTGGTAGCTACCACTTACATCATGTACTCCTGAGCTGTACCATAGGAATTCCTGCTTAGCTGCCGTGAATGAAATGAAATGAATTTTCATTCATTCATGGCACCTGTTTCATTCTTGATAATTTATTCTGTTTCATTCATTCCTGGTGACTGTTTCATTTTTTTATTTCATTCCACCATGGCAACTGTTTCATTCTTTGCTTCATTCATTCCTGGCGACTGTTTCATTTTTTTAATTTTATTTCACCATGGCAACTGTTTCATTCTTTGCTTCATTCATACTAGGGCAGTCATTCATTTTTATTTCATTCTTCTCAGGTGCCTGTTAGAGCTGGGAAAATGATTATGTAATTGATGCAAAATATTTCAGTGCCTTAATTGGCAACAGCATACATATCTTGTTATGTATTTGAGCCTCAAATCCAAAAGTACCTCCATATGACCCCACACACCACTGCAGTAGGGCACAACACACATCAGGCATAATTGTATATCATTTCCTTATTTAGATGTGTATTAAAACATTGAAATTGTTGCCTGAAAGAATGAAACAGAGATGAAATAACTGCCTGAAAAGAATGAAATGAAAATGCTACAGCAATGAATGAAACGAAGCAAAGAATGAAACAGTTGCCATGGTGGAATGAAATTAAAAAATGAAACATTTGCCAGGAATGAATGAAACAAAATAAATTTCATTCTTGTCAATAGCAATACTTATCACTCCCCCACCTATTCCTACTGGACTCCAGGACTCCAGTAGGATTCCTACTGGATTTTGACAAAATTTCCAAAAAGGCATTTTCACATATTTCTCCATTCCCCCTCCTACTGGACTCCTACTGAACTTAAACAAATTAGATGAAATGCTCCACACATTGAAGTCCTACTGGATTCCTACTGGAATATCAACTTCAATGTATTACCAAGTCAGAACTTCAAATTTCTATTCAAAATTCACATTTAAACAAATGTTGTATTGTGAAATGACAACTAAATACAGAAAGATATTTTACTAATGTAATGAGGGAGGGGGAGGGAGTGATGGAGTGATGGAGGGAGTGGTGGAGGGAGAGAGCTATGGAAGGAGGGGAAGTGAGTGAAGTGAAATGATGGAGGGGGGAGGGGGTGAGAGAGGTGGAGAGAGGAAGAGAGGGAGGGAGGGAGGAAGAGAGGGAGGAAGAGAGGAAGGAGGGAGGAAGAGAGGGAGGGAGGGAGGAAGAGAGG